CCTCGCCTCAGCACTCGTGGGTGGGAGGGCGCCGGGGCCTGGCCTCAGCACTCGTGGGTGGGAGGGCGCCGGGGCCTCGCCTCAGCACTCGTGGGTGGGAGGGCGCCGGGGCCTCGCCTCAGCACTCGTGGGTGGGAGGGCGCCGGGGCCTCGCCTCAGCACGCGGGGGAGGGCGCGGGGGCTGCCAGCAGCATTTCACAGTGACAGTTAATGCCCAGGGACTCTAAGGTTTTCCAAAGTTTTGTAAATAAAATCTTTCTTTCTTTTTTTAATCTTTTATTTATTTGGTTCAGGGGGTTGCTACACAGCTGGGACTCGTAGTGATCTTCTGTCCCAGCCTCCCCAGCGCTGGGATGACAGGTGTGTGCCACCACACCCAGTTTCTGTGGCCAGCTTGGCATGGGACCAGCATGGCATGCGGTACCAGGGATCAAACCTGGGTCCTTGTGCTTTCGAGGCAGGCGCTCAGACTGCTGAGCTATCTCCCCAGCCCCCGCGTTTCTTTATTCTAAGTGAACTTTTACACGGAAGTACCCGACATGAGACAACTGTGGCTCCTCCTCTCACATCACACTTTTTCTGTGTCTGAAACCCACTGACCTGGTCCACATTCCTCACTTTTCAGGTAAGAAACTGAGGTGCAAAATGGCAGTACCTACTAACTAACTTAGCCAAACTTCCCACAAGCAGAATAGGGCCTGATCCAAAGTCTGGGTCCTTTCTACTACATAGAAATCATGTGTTCTCACACGGAGCAGTCTGTCATGAACGGAGCAGCAGGTTGGAAGTACGCTTCTCACCGACATGGGTTTATTGTCATTACGTGGAAGTTCTTTTGGTACCAGGGACTGAACTCAGGACTCTGCACTTGCCAGGCAGGCGCTTATGCCACTGAGCTATCTCTCCAGCTGTGTGCCTTCACTACAGGTAACTGACTCACTAACGCACCTTTTGTATACTAAATTTGGTCTTGTATATACTTTTAAAATAATATTTTCTTAACACGTCCGTAGTACATAACGATTACAATCGCCGTGGCGGGGTGCTACGCGCACGTGATGCTCCTCCACGCTCTACTTCCTCGTGGCCTCATGTATACGTACTGAATGGCCAGCCCGAGCTGTTACAGGTGCCACTGCTGCGGGCTGCTGCCTTCACAGGGTGACTTCACAGGGCGGGGAGGGCCACACAGAACCCCGAGCCCAAGGAGGGAAGAAGCTGGTTCCCCTCCAGGCCCAGATCAGCTCTTTCCAGGACCTCACCCCTGCTCTAAGAGGCCAGGCCAAGCGGGCTGCTTCCAGGTGTAGTGGTAACGCCACAGGGCGCCCACTGGGTTCCATGCCAGAGGGCAGGGAGAGAAAGGCACACCTTCACTTCCTGCCTACTCCCAGATGCGCCTGCGCTCCCAACCCCCTCAAAGGCAAGCCATGTGGCTCAGCTCCCACTACCCCGGCCTCTGGGCCTACAGTAAGAACCATAACTAGGGATTCCGTGGTTGTTTTCAAGGCTCTCTATGGACAGAATGTCTACTTTTCCCTATGAATAGAATATCCACTTTTCCTTGTAGGTATCTGACTTCCAAATATTTTCAGGAATGTATTATATTCAAAAGAAAAATGCCATTTAAATTGTCAGACTGCCAAAAAGTTTTATGATTCAGACGCAGTTATTTTCATGTCCCAACAGTAAAACAGTTGCAACAGTTTACCAACTTGCCAATTAAAATAGTTATTTCAGGATCTTTATAAAAATGCATCAGGTGTCCTTGCCACAATACATAGGAGCTGAAGCTCAGGAGGAAGCAGCAAGCCACTGCCAGTGCTGGGTTTCCTCACTAGGGTTGTTAAAGACAGAGGAAACAGACGACAATGGAATTGTACTCTGTGACTGATCTCATCCACAGACGGAAATAGCTGTACTTGGAGTCCAACACAAATAACCTCAAGATCAGTTTAGCTTGGCCTTGAAAAGCCATGTTAGGATATTTAATTGAAATATAACATCTTATTCGAATTAAATGTAACATTTTAATTTACTGTAGTATAGTTTGTGTTTCCGCCTCCACTTTCTGAAGCTACTCCAACGCATGTGCTGTACCATTATACTGTGTAACAGTACTCACCATCCTACTGTGGCTTCCCCCAAGAATATGTCACCAGTACACAGTTAATGACAGGTCTCCCATCACTGTGCATCAGGTCAGCTTCTGTCTTAGCCTCCATAAATAACTATGCCACCACCTTGGGTCCCAGGACACTTACTTGGACTTGTTGTACTCAAATTCAATGTGCAAGCAGTCCTCGATCCCAACCTCCATTTTGATGGACGAGTTCAGCTCAGGGTATGTGCTCAGTGTGTGCACCACAATGTCCATTTCTTTGACAACGTCATTGAGGCGGCGGCTGATGGTGGCCCGAAGGAAATAGCTGTGGAAGATACAGCTTGCATGAGTGAATACTCCCACTTTCCAGAGCTACCGCGATACGGAGAGCTAACTGATCCACTTCAGAGAGGCCTTCTAGTAATTCTTAATCTTCAGAGCTTTGTGTATGAACCCACTTCTCAAAAAAACACACAAATACACATTTAAAACAAAAATGATGCTACTACAGTTTCAGGGAGATTGAATCCCTCTTCCCAAATCCATTGTACTACACATTACTTCTCTGTATTGTATTCCAAAACCATATTATGCTTAGACCTTACCAATGCCCACTACCTAAGTATACGCAACACAGGTTGGTTACATTTCTTCAACTTCTGCCTTTTTGAGTATAAGTTGCTAAGGTTTAAAATCTAAAATCTCCACCCCCCAAATCTCATGTATTTAGGAGTTGGAAAAGGTGACTCAGAAGGCAATTGGGTCATGCGGTGCTGTACTCATCACTGGATGAAGCCGCTGGTAAGTTTACACCTGAATGCGCTGTTAGGAGGTGAGGCCTGAACAGCGAAGGCCGGCCCCTGGGCGTGGGCAGCTCGCTCTCCCTGCTTCGCGGCCATCGTGGTGTGAGCAGCTGCCCTCACCAACCCTTTCACCATGCTACCTGCCTTGAAATCTGCTGACCAGGAACTGAACCCACCGGAAATTGTCAGCTAAAGGAAACTTACATTTTAGGTGTAGCGTATTTTATCCCAGTGATTGGAAAGCCAATTAATAAATAGAAGCCTACCCAAATAAAGTTGATCAATAAACATTTCTCAATTCCCTCACAGTTAAAAGAGAGCTGGAAAATGTTGATAGGAAATGAGAACATCAAATACCTTTTCATTTGGTAAATTTTACTATGCTGCACACCATATTAGACATGGTATGGGTACGGTACAGTGTCACAGGAATCTCCCAGTCCATGCAGGAGATGTCACATAACAGAAAAATTAGAACCCATGCGAAGTGTTGACTGAGATACTGCAATCCAGTGGTGTGGGCAGAGGAAGAAAGGTATTCCGAAAAGGGAAAGTCTTCGTGCAAAGCAACGGAAACTCTGAATAGCAACCTGCTGGCTCGGTCTTGGAGAGGAGACTGTTGCAGCAGGGACCAGTTAAACAGAGCTCCAGCTTCTGAACCTTGAGCCTGAGTTCCAGGGCCAGCCCCTTCAGCACTGCCTTCCCCTGCATTCCCCAGCATCCCCCACTATGCTAACGGGCAATGATGGAGAAAAGCCCTTTATACTGTCTTCCAAATGACTCTCAGATAATCTCTACAACCTTGTAACTACTAATGGAGAAAGTACTAAGGCATGCTAACCACACCAGCTACACATTTATGTTACTGTCTTACCTACTTTTCTTGTTGGGGAAACAAAATACCTGAGGCCCAAATTTAAGGAAGGAAAGGTTCGCTTGGCTCTCAGTTTGTAGAGGTTCCAGTCCATAGTTGTCTGGCTCCAAGGCAGAGTGGCTTTGCACAGGGGAAGTCGTGGTGGGCAGAAAGAAGCAAAGCAACAAGAGCCCCTTTTATGTTATCCAGACTGCGGGGATGAGTCGTGCCACTCTAGCAATCACCCCCCCTTGACGCAGCACACTTTACCCCAGCAATGCAGACCCTAGATTCAGCCACACCCCTGTGACTGTGTAGGGCTTTGGGAGGGACTTCTAGACACAAACTGTAGCATTCCGCCCCAGCCATATACATCCCTTTATGCAAAAGGCATTCAGTTCATCGCTTAGAGCTGCCGAAGTCCTAACAATTTCAGCATCTGTAAAAAGTCTGAGTCCCAAGTCTTCGCTGAGACTTAAGGCAAACTTAGCTTTAAGCTTTTTTTTTTTTTTTTTTTTGTGGTACCAGGGATAGAACTCAGGACCTTGCACTTGCTAGGAAGGCACTTATGCCACTGAGCTATATCCCTGGCTAGCTTTAAGCTCTTATACAAATAAGAGTTAAACACTTCCAACATTCAGTGGCACAAGACAGCTGTAGCTCCATGTGCAGCATCCAAGGCAATTGGTGGCAAGATGTGAGCTCCAAAGGGCTGCGGTGGCTCTGCTTCTGCAGCATTTCCAGTGAAAGTGGCGGCCACAGCTTCCCTCTGGCGCTGGCTCTGCTCCTTTCTTGCAGTTTTCCTCAGACGATCCACATTTCTGGCTTCTCCAAACTTCTGAGGTCTCTATACACCACTGGCTTCACACTCACAGCTCTATCTACTGCCATCTCAGCGGTAACTGCCTGGCCTCCCAGGCCTGCTTCTGAAGTCGGGTTGGCACCTTCCTGAGCCCGCAACTCTCGTGTTCTGCATGCACTTAAGCCAGCGCTCGTGGTCGATGCCGAGGTCTGCTGCCAGTTCGAGCAATATCCGGTCTCTCCCTGCTCTCCTGTCTGTATCAGTCCAGTGCACATGAACCGCATCCCGAGAAATAACTTACAGAGGCTGCTGCCATTTGGGAACGTGGTGCTCTGGGGCTTACCTTCTTAAAAGAAAGTCTTTTTATCATCTTTGCAGCTCTGAAACTGCAAAGTCAGGATGCCATGACCTGCTCAGTTCTCAACGGTCCCAGAGAAAAATGGAGAGATTTTAAAAAATCGACCAGAAATGAAAGCTGAGGTCAGATGGAAGCCACTTTCCAGAAGGGAGAAGAGGAACTGCACAAGCACTGTACGTCCATACTCTTTACAAAGTTAGTATCATGCACACAGGGTTGCCTAGCAACTAATGGCCGGAACTGTCTCAGAATTGGGGTAACCTGATTGCTTCAGGCAGTTTGGCCTCGTCTTGTCCCCACACATATGACCAATTTCCGGCTTCAGCCACTCGCTACAACTGGAGTTCTGCTGGTTGTTTGTTTCTTCTTCTTGAGACAAGGTCTCCCTATGTAGTCCAGGCTGGCCTTAGACTCACTATGTAACCTAAGCTGGCCTAGAAACTCACAGCGATCCTTCTACCTCGGCCTCCTGAGTGCTGGGATCACAGGTATGCACCACCACTACACCCAGCTTGTTGGTTCTTGTGATCTCCTCAGGCCATCTTTTTTGTTGTCTCTTCTGAAATACTTGGCTTTTCCTTGCTAGACTTTTCAGCAACAGATTTCTTCTGTTTCATCTTTGCAGGCCACAACTTTAATGGAGCTTTCTTTCTGGCAAAGCTCACATTTTGAATCATTCTGCTGGGCTCTTTGCTCTTTATTCTCAACATAAACCTGGCTAAAAGACCCAAAGGTAGCCATGCCACTGTTTTAATGTTAGACTGCCTTGAAATGTCTTCTGCAAAATTAATTACTCTGCTGCCCTTGGTCTCAGGCAGTCTCTGGACAGGAGCAAAAAGGCACTGATTACTTCTTGGCAATCTTTTTTATTCATCTCAGTAATGTCTGTCACACCGGCCAAGACATTTGTATCTAACCTTTCTTCTAATTGCTCAGTTTCCAGGTTTCCCTGTCTGTGGAAGACAGTACCCTTTACTAAAAAGACAAGGCCTTCCATCTCAAGATTCATAATTTTCTCCCTCTCTGCTTTGTGCTGTTTCTTACCCATGCTAGGTTTTACATGTTTCTCTGCATCTTTCAATAGCATTCCTCTCTTAAAACCTGGCACAAATACTCTCAACCTGGGTACACGTTAAAATCACAGGACTGAAAAGTCCTCATACCTATGAACATAAACATGTAATTGTTCTGTCGAGTGACATAATAGTATTCAAAGCTTCCCACATGATTCTAATTCTGGTCTAGGGCCTTGCTTCTACTTTTCGAATTTTCCCAAAATATTCTGTCTCTTTACAGCTAACATTTTCTTCCTTTGCACCTACTAAGTCTCAAACTCGATCCCAAAGCTCTTCTACAGGCCATGCGTCCTGGCCTGCCAGGTTCTGTGCCTCTCCTCAGAGACTGACAGGTCTCACATGACAGGTCTACATGACAGGTCTACATGGACAGCTGCATCTTCTTCCGCAGCCATGACTAACCACTATCCACCCAACAGAAACTGCTCTTCTGGAAGGAAAAAAGAACGCATGGCCTCCCAGTAGGCTTCCTTGTTTCTTTTGTGTGTGTGAGTGTGTGTGGTACTGAGGACTGACCCAGGGCCTTTGCAGGGAGCTACTTCACCAGCCCCATTTTGATTTTTTATTTTGATATAAGGTCATGCTAAGTTGCCCAAGCTGGGCTTGAACTTGCAATCCTCCTGCCTCAGCTTCCCAGAGAGCTGGGGTTACAGGCATGCCTAGCTACCAGTGCCTTTTTTTTTCCCCCTCAAAACAGTACAAAAAGTAATTCTTTCTCCTTGAAATTATTTCCACCATCTTGAGTGACCTCTCCCGTTCTTTGATTATTATACTACCTGAAACAAGGGTATATAAATAAGGCTTGTCTTCAGTTCCTTTAAATACCTACCCTGAAGTGGCTTGATCATACAGTAATTAGACATTTAAGAGAGTGTGCAGAAGGGGGTGAATGAGCGAGAGAGCGCAGGCTTGAGTCCAGTAAGTGAAGTGTCCCTCAGTAAAGGAATAAAACGTATTTACATGCAATGAATTCTTACAAACAGGAAGGCAGTTCTGTCATACACTAAAAGGCGTGAGTTTTCGGGGCACTCTGTCCTATCACAAAAGGACAAACAGTGTGGATTTTAAGCACACTGATCAACATCATTGAGCCTACACCCCCAGCCCCGTTATGTTCTTGAAAACTCACCATACTGTTTCCAATACCTTTCTTTCCGACATAAAAATATTTAAGCAAATCTGCTGTGAAAAAAATTAATAAATCCCACAGCCAAGCTTAAGTGATGATTACCTAAGCCTCACTGTCGCGTCACTGAGTGACACGGCAGTGAGCCAGCGCTGCTGGTAGGGAGCACAGCCATGCGGAGACCTCACTGCACGGAGGACGTGTGAAGAACGACAAGCGCTTTCTGATGTAAGAGAGAACCAAGAAGGGAAGGGAGCGGCAGTCGGCACCGCCCAAGTGTGGCCTTAAGGTGCTAACAATCGATCTTGCTGGGCACTATGGTGCATGATGGTAATTCCAGCACTCAGGAGGCTGAGGCAGGAGGACTGCTGTGAGTTCAAAGACAGCCTGAACTACATTGTGAGATGCTGGGTCAAACAACCAAAACAGGAAACAAAAACAAAACAAAAAAGCAAGCTGATCTTAGGAAACTAGCAGCATGACCTGGGATGAAGCAGAGTGCTTTGTCTCAGTCATATTGCATAATTCTGCAATTAAATCTAACAATGTCTAGCTGCTGTGGAACTTTACCCCAGAAGCTTTGGCATCAGTCTCTATGGTCCAAGTTCCCAAGACTGGAACAGTAAAAGTAACACCATGTACTTCCAATGTGTTTCTTATCTACACCACATGCAGTGCCAGGGATGCAGCTTAGAACTTCAGGAACGCTAGCAGCCCTGTGTTCATTGGTTTCTAATTTTTTTTATTAATACATGTTTGTAGTACATAATGATTACACTTTATCTTGCGGCGCTTATACATGCATGTAACGTATCTTAATTCTTTGATCCCCTTCCAATTTGCAAAAGCTGTTTCCGTTTTCTTCTTCAATTTTTATTTATAATCCTTTTCCCCTTCTATCTCTTTTTATTTTTCTTTTAAGTATTTGGTACAGGGCCGGGGAGATGGCTCAGTAGAATAAGCGCTTCCCTGGCAAGTGCAAGGGTCTGAGTTCAATCCCCAGTTCTGCCAAAAAATAAAAAAAATTAAAAAAAACAAAAGTATTTGGTACAAGGTATACAGGGTCTCCTTACACAGCGTCCCAAGTGCTGGGATAACAGGCACACACCACCACAGTCTCAACTGCAGTCTCAGCATGCTCCAGGGGCAGGGACAGCATGGTATGCCGGAGATTGAACCCTGGTCCCTATGTCTGCCTAAGCAGGCGCTTTAATCCTCTGAGCTTTCTGGCCAGACCTCCATCTCTTTTTGTAAAAGATTCATTTATTTATTTGGCACAGGGCCTTGCTACGTAGCACGGACTCCTAGTGATCCTCCTGTCTCAGCCTCCCCAGCACTGGGATTATAGGCATGCACCACCATGCCCAGTTTCAGTGGCCAGCAAGACACGGGGCCGAAACGGCATATGGTACTGAGGATCAAGCCAGGTCCTTGAGCCTGCCGAGCAGCACTAGACTGCCGATCTATCTCCCTGGCCCCTCCCTCTCCATCTCTTGTTTCTCTTCCCATTTGAAGAACTCTACTTCTTATTCCCTTATATTGTGCTCTTTGTATTTTGAGTTTCTCTATAAGAGAAATCATGTGATATTTAAACATGTAGGTGTGACTTATTTCCTTCTTTAAGGCACAGTAGTATTCCATCTTCTTTACCCACCCATCTGTGGAAGGTTAATAGATGCTGCTTCCAAGATTTAGTTATTACAAAATGCAGTGCTATAAATGAGGGTGTACGAGGGTGTACGTAGATGTAATTTTTAGAGACTTTGTTATACTATGTTGCATTTCATTTTCTTGTCAAGCCCAAAAGATGGAGAAGGCAGATCTAAAAGCAGAATCTAAATACATTACTCGCTTTTCAAGTGAGAAAGCTGAGTCATGGAGCCCAAGCTCACAAGCTGCTGAAGCAGAGCTGGACGAGGGCTCAGTATCCGCTGATGCTCAGCCAGGCCATGCTGGGGCCAGATCGGAACCAAGCTGAAGGTCGCATTTGCAACAACTTTATGACCTGGCTGTGAAATGCAGCTAGTATTTAAAGTTAATTACATTACCTTTATAATTAATTGTATTAAAACAAAGGTAATATACATGAGAAACGCAATGCTACTTTTTGTGCTTGGTTGGGTTTCTTGAGACACGGTCTCGCTGTGTACTTCAGGCCAACCCTTGCACTCACTACGCAGCACTGGCTGGCTCCAAGCACAGGCTGCCTCAGCCTCCCACGGTAGGCCGCCACGCGCAGTGTAAACTCGATGCTTCTGAATGGCTGCCCTACTGGGCGCAGAAGGGAATGCACTCCCAGTGCGTGCACGATGGAACGGTAGCTACCACCCACTTCACCCTACATCTACGTGCAGGAACAGACACTCGTGTTTGGAAACTGGCTTCAGTGTCTTACACTACACAAATCGACAGGTGCTACAAACTGAGGGCTCTGCCCCCACAAAGCCCATGGTTAAACATTTACCAGCACACCATAAAACTCTTCCTTCTCAGAGATCTTCCGAAGCAGGGACAGCTTCAGGTCCTTGCCCATGCGGGGCTAGTTCTGCGATGGGGGAAGGGGCACTCACCGCAACTTTACATTCTGCCCTGTGTAAGACTCATACGGCTTCTCCACGTGGGTGAACTCAAAATCAAAGGCCTGGGACTGAGTGATCTCTCCGGGCCGAGCCAAATCCTTCACCAGGGACACAAATTCATGGTGATTCCCACGGTCATAATAGAGTTCTGGAAAGAGACAACAACTCTTCTATCAGAGTCAGGTTCCACAGGACCTTGAGAGGTTGCCCCAAGCCAGAGGTACCACCCTTCTGGAAGGAACGCCCCCCCAACACTGCTGTGTTCCAGCTTTGTTTCTGGACCCCTTCTCTTTCCACGACACCCCCCTTGCCACATTTCCCAACAGTAGCCTTCCCCCTGCCTCCTTTCCATAGATTTTTTTTGGAGGGAGTGTGTCATGTGGCCTTGCCTGGCCTTGAACTGAGCTCAAGTGATGCGCCTGTTTCAGCCTCCCAAGTTGCTAGGACCAGAGGTGTGGGTCACAATGCCTGGCTCATCCTTTTTGTATACTGAAATTCTGTGGCACGAGGAGCACCCATTATAGTCCTAAGATGTTGCTCTGGTAGTAATCCAGTAACTTCACCCCTCTCCCCCATAAAAGTAAGAAGTATATGGACAGCGGAGAAACAGCCTCACCCAGCCTCAGGGAGGAGCAGCTCTGAGGGTTATACACAAGGGACCCAAAATCAAATTGCCTCATCTTAACATATCTAACTTCTGAAAGGATACACATTGTTGTGTAATTGTGTCATCCATTAGCAGTCTTGCAAGACAGCTAGGTCAGACCTTATTGCCCATTGAACAGAAGGAAGCTGAGGCGTGGCACAGTCATAGGACTGGCCTGGAGCCCCAGAGTCGGCTGCAGGGCTGAGATTACAGCAGACTTCCTCTGAACTACATCTGTCTATAACCTGCTCTAATGAGAAGCAGAGGAGGTGACACAGGTAAAACATGTAGGACAGTGACTAGCAGATGGCAAATAATCAGCACAGCCACTAGCTGCTGCAGCCACTAAGAAAGACAGGCCCGTGGCCCATCTGACATGGATGCTTTCATGTCATCTCACTCACCTCGGTCAGCGGTCCCCAAACTCTGCGTGCATTAGCATCCTCTAGAGGTCTACTTGACTCAGGTCTGGAGTGGGGCCCAGAACGTACCCTTCCAGCAAGTTCCTGGGGGGGGGGGCACCACACTTTGAGAAGCACTGCTCTAAATTCACCCTCTCCTGGAAATATTTCTTCCTTGTGACAAGCTCATGCCATCACTTGTCCTACTTTATGTCTGTCCGCATTCAGCCATTGAAGTTTTGCTGTATCTTTCTTTCCCAGTTGGCACTGACGGTCCTCTAAACATGAGGCCCATATCCCTGGCTTCTTGGAGGGGTCCTGTACCTGGGCTCACATCGGGTACAATTCAGTTCAGAAGGTGATGAGATCCACCCACACGAACTCAAGCCAGCACTCCTCAGGTATGCCCAGGTTCAAGTGCTAAGCTGGGCTACAACCTACAGCCATGCTGATGAGCTCGGAAGGGCAGCAAGTGCAAGAGCACTCCTGATGCTTCTGTGGTTTGCTGCCTGGAGAGAAAAGCTAAGTCCACAGAGAGCAGTCTCTGGGACAACTGCAAACAAGACCGAGTTCTTGGCCTCTCCGGGGGCTGGATGCCCATCTCTCTTAACATGACCTGAGCACTGGGGCAGCTGAAAAGAGTTGCATTTGCTCCAGGTCTAGCATGGGCAGCACAAGCTCTGAGCCTTGAGTATGATACAATCCTTCTGGGCCCAGGAAACCAGATCTGCTTCTGCAGGGCCAAAACAGTGTTCAGTCCTGCCCAGGGGACCAGCCATCACCAGAAAGAAAACAAGTACGTTAGAACATGCTCTCCAATTGGCTCCCAAACTCTCCCTTCTTCTTGACCAAGGAGCCTCTTTTGACATGGCCATTCTTCCACAGAGAGCCAGCCAACTCGGGCTTGGGGTGCAGCTCAGGAGCAGAATATTTCACTTGGTACATGCAAGGTACTGGGTTCAATGTCAGCCCTAAAGTAAAATGATCAACTCACAAAGGTAGCAGTAGTAGAGATAACCCCACATGGGGGATGCTGGTATTATGTGGTTCTGTGGCTGATTTACTCGATGGGCATACTTTGATCTTTCACTATGAATACACCTTTTCTAAAATGTTTAGCGCTGGCTCCTATTTGAGAACTGAACACCTAATTTGGGAGCCTTGTTCCAGAAGTCAGAGAAAAGCAAAGAAAAGCACCAATGGCCCTGAAAAATCCCAGAGTCAAGAATACGGGAAGAGGGGCTAGGGAGATAGCTCAGTAGAATAAGTGCTTGCCTGGCAAGCACAAGGGCCTGAGTTCAATCCCCAGTTCCGCAAAAAACAAACAAACAAAAAAGAATACAGGAAGAGAGGGATGGAAAAATACACAAGTGGCTCACATGGTGGAAGGCAACACGAAAAACAAACAAAACAGAGCCTGTTCAGAGAGCCTTCGCACACACCAGCGATCTGACGCCGTGCCCTGCCGCTGCCGCGGCTGCCACAGGGCACTTGGGGAGGCGAGGCCCTTTCCTGCACAGCACTGTGTTCTCCTGGCTGCTCTTCCTGCTGCAACAGACATCAGCTTCTGCGTCTGATGCAGTGGAAGGGGGGCCCGGATGTGGTCTGAGTGGGGCTGCACTGGCCTTTTAAATTTACAATTTATAAACTGTTTGGAATGCTGCAAATACTGTGGGCCAAAGACACCGAAATAGGAGGCCTATTTTGCTGCTTGCCAGGAAGACTGGTTTTTCTCTTGTGAAACTGTTTTTTCCCATTCTGATTTTATTGGAGCTAAGCAACATGGCATTTGTCACATTAAGAGTATTTCCTTACTCAGGTTAATGATTCATGATCCATATTTAAGGAAATATACTACTTGAGGGGGGACAAAGTCGGCAGGGTGGGACTCTGCATCTTCTTCCCATCATCTTTTCTTACTAGTACATGTTGCTGCACACAGTGTTTACACACCTCTGGAGAGCTGGAAAATGCATGCATCAGGTCCTCCTCATCGCTTTCCCTTCCTCCCCTCTTTGCTGCCTCCCTCATGTCTCTCCCTGTCCTGCTCGTTAGTTAGTCCGCGTCTGTTGCACATGGTCACACTCCGCCTGCAGAGCTGGGGCATCGCAGGAAGTTTCACTTCCTTTTCCACGCCCAGCCCCTGCTCTCCCTCCCACATCACTCCATCTCTCAATCCCCTTGCCATTTGATCAAAATATCCCCCTGCTTCCGATAATTGACGTTTCATTTTACTCTGTGTTTATTCTTCAGGTTTCTCATATAAGAGAAATCATGCAATATTTAACCTTGTGTGTCTGATTTCTTTCACTTACAGGAAGGTCTCAAGGGGCACCCATTTCCCTACAAAGGACCCAAGTTCATCTTTCTTTGCGGCACAGTAGTATTCTATTGCATGAAAATACCAGTCTAATTATGTCTCAATATATTTAGTATGAAAGTATTTATACAAGGGGTTCTTTTCCTGAAGTGCAGACATTTTTTAGCAGACTCTGTATATAGTGGTAACTTGGTTCGTGAACTTAATTCTTTCCACAATTTAATTGCAAATTCAGTTGGTTACTAACCAAATTAAAATTCCCCCTAACGTAAAAAATGACCCTAACCAATGAATTTGATTTTGTTTACAACCAATTCAGTTTGTGAACAGAACTGTGGAAAGAATTAAGTTCATAAGATGGGGTACCATTATATAAAAAGGCAACCCTTATCTAAACACACAATAAAAAAGATCTCCTTGTCAAATGTATTAAATTATAAATAGAACATGAGTTTTGTAGACTGAATTCTAAATGATAATAAAACACATCTGGAGTGAAAAAAAAAAAAAAGAAAATACCAGTCTATCCGTTCATCTGCTGATGGGCTGTCTCGCATAACTTAAAAAAGAGACTCTAAGGAGGCTGGGCCCTAAAGACCATCAACTTCCGCTACTCCTTTTTAATTCTCAACCACCAAAGTGTTCAGAGACCACACATTTCCAAAATAGAAAATAGGAACTGACTGGTTTACTTTTTATCTTTTGAAGGAAATTTCCCCGTCTTTGGTTTCCTTCTTGACCCTTCATTCAGGATGTTTTATGGTAAAACCTGACACCAACAGCCAAGAAATGAGGTTGCCACTTAGGGGGAAATTGAGCCAGCGCTGCATCACCTGCTGCTGGGACCGGGCCACCACACACCATCCGGGCTTCACGCTGGTCTTGTGAGAGCTGCCTCTCTGTCTGACTTTTCCAGTCCCTTGCTGGCTGGCAGCCTGGTCAGGATCCATGCTTGGCATGGCCCATTCCCTGTCCTGGCTCCTGGCGCACCCATGGGAGCAGACACACCCCTGCACCACACATCCCCAGCTCGGTGACATGCAGCTGCCCTCCAGGCCCAGTTGGCCACTTGGCACGCAGGCCAGGGTTAACGGCTTTCATCTCAACATGCTTTTCACTCAGCATACCAACGGGTACTGAATGAAAACAACACAACGTCTCTGGAAATTCTGAAAGTACTGGTTTGATCAGCATTGTTGGCTCACTAACCCTTTTCAATGATCTAGACAAGTACCTCTTTGGCTTTCAAGCACAGGGATGTTCATGGTTTCTCTCCTCTACAAGACTGACCTTCCGGGGCTGGAGAGATGGCTCAGTGGTCTAAAGCACCTACTTAGAACAAGCTTAGCAAAGCATCGGGGACTGCGGTTCAATCCCCAGCACCACATGCCAGACAGCCCCGCCCCCTGGTGGGCTGAGCTGGACACACACACCTCTCTCTCTCTTTCTCTCTCTCTCTCTCTCTCTCTCTCTCACTCACTCAAATAAATAAAAAAAAAATTATAAAAAAAAAAAAAAAAAAAGACTGACCTTCCAATTCTAATGGGTTTCTTTAGCTGCAATTAACCAAAGCAGCCCAGGCCTGCCTTCTGTCTTTTAAGATGTGTTCTCCAAAGGATTCTTGCTGAATTTTTTTTTTTCTTTTTACTTTCAATAACTCAGTTCTTCCCTCAGTACCCTTCACTGCTTACTCTTTATATATAAACTGTGGGTGAACAGCAGCAGGTGGAGTAACTATAGACCTTACATCTTACTATCCCACGGACTGTCCTGGGGATCTC